CAGACGGCGAAAACAATTTAAATCCATTTTAACTTCATAATGATCGCAATTTGTATCGTACATTTAGCTGGCCAATAAATAAAATAGGCAATTAGGACGTACACTTACATTTGCATATTATTTGGGGGGACAACAATCGACTTAACGGGTAGTACACAACAGAGTTTCATGAAGTAGGTTTCATTTATTTTTTGACACAAAAAATTGCCCCAGTTATGTAGGGTATTTTTTAAATCCAGTTAACTTCTTTTTTTATTTAAAATAACATTCATTTCAAACTTTATTTTATTAGGTTGAAAAAAAAGTTTTCTCTGTTGGGAATGAAAACACGCTCTTTTGCTCTAAAAAACAAAAAATTAAGTTATAACCTACTTACGCCCGTTATTCACAAACATTACACGAACCAATCACAGAGCTCTATTCAATGCTGTGCGTTCGATTTGCTGCTTCACTTAAGCAAGTATTGTTTGTGAATACAGGTGTTAATAGAATAGATTTTTACAGAAAATACATAATTATTTCAATAATAATACATTTGTAAAAAATAAGTAGTTCGATTTTTTATGAAAATAACGATAAATTACTTTTTTTTTTAGTTTATTTTTTTAGAAACGGTTCAGAGGAACTTATTTGCACTAAAAGCCTTTAAAGGTATTTATTATCATAAGATAGGTAATAGGTAAGGTAATAATACCTTCACACATCACTGTACTACCACAAGAACTTACACATGTACGTACACTACGTTCTTTAACTAACCCTACTGAGTATATCTATGGCACCCCAGCCCATATCAACGGGACAGGCCCGCCACATGGCGGCTATAAAATAAAAAGAACACTGCTTTCGTCTGCGCTTACTTTATGGGGTTTTTTACCACAATTGGTACATGGGTTTCGTCTGTGCATGTGCAGATTAAATTGAGGACAAGGATGATTTGATAAAGAATGTAATGGATTGATAGGCAGTTGTAATATTTAGCAGTTTAGTTTTATTTTGTGAGTTTGTCTTGGTAAAACACAAATCATGAATGATGTTTTGTAACTATTTCTTTCAGAAGATATTTGTACAATAAACATTTAAAGAGGCAGTTTTATTACTAGTAGCAGACTATCCTCCTGCTTTTCCTCCCATGTTCTTCAAATTAAATTCGTTGCGGGTCCAATGACAGTTTAACTTTCCCCCGGGACAAACTTGACCTTCACTAGTGAGTTTTTTATTGGTGGTCAAGCTGTAGATCCTGGCTACACAAGAGTTGCAGTGCTGGGAACGAGAGGTGGGAATAGTCCCGTGGATAGACAAAGTAGATTTGCCGGAAAACGAAAGCTCTGGGACAGTAAAATAACAATTTTGAAATTTCTGTGTTTTCTACGTTGGATTTTTTAGTCTTTCATTACCTACCTACTAAAATCAATTTCTTTTTTCGCGTTCTTCTGATCTCGAGTTGGCCCGTCCGACACCTTTCACCGTTCGACTAATTTAAACTACTTTACATTTTAAAACGCCACTTCATCTAAGGACCCCCTATGGCCTATAAATCCTATAATCTATATCAATATTACAGTAACATAGTACCTACACAATAACATTGTGGATATGACCGCCCCGAGCACCGAACGCGGACCTCCGAATCGTCACAATAATTTATCCGCCACGCCGAGCGCGACGGGCCAATCAGCTAATTCGATTTCTACCCTCCCCCGGGCAAGATGTGTGTCTTGGGGGTATAGATATAGGTAGTACATTACGTCATTGTTGTGAACTTGTGACGTGCATTGTCTTTGTGATGTTATTATAGCTAGTCTTTTTAATTACAAATGTACTGACCACGCATTCTTGTTGATAAAATGTTTGGGATGCGTAACTGCCTAGCTCGCATAAATATTTATAACTATGTATATTTTAAAGCCTGTAAACCTTTGAAAAAGAGGCTGACAAAATAGTGACAGAGCTTCTTGCGCTGCTTCTTCTCAGCACTGGCCCATTTATTGTCCTGAAGCAGTGGTAGGGTTAATACTGGGACTTGTAACAGTGCTTTTTTAAAGCCTATTTGTAGAAATAAATGAGTTTTATAAGTTTTATTTATAGAAAAAGAGGAATTATAAGTCAAGCCACGGTATCTAACCTCTGATTTTATAACAGCCACGGGAATATTAAAAGGCTTCTAATATACTAATTGGCCTTCTCTTAAATGCCACCTAATTTTTAAGTGACCCTATAAAAGCAAAATGCCTGTTAAGTGTTATAAGGGTCACTTAAAATTAGGGATTGATGGTGAAACCGGGCATTATTCTCAGATATAACTTAAAACTGCCCAAAATATTAACTTACGGAATGTAGAGCTTAGGGAGAGATCCGGTTTTTTTGCAGATCCCGTTTATAAAACATGCCGTTTGCAGTGTCCCGTAAAAAACAGATACGTTCGAATTTTATTTGGAATTCGAATTTTAATAACACATGTGTTTTTACATGGTCTAGTTTTACGGGATGATAAGCTGTATTGAACTTATCCCCGTTTTCACCGTCAATCCTTAATTTTTAAGTGACCCCTATGGTAACACATAACAGGAATTTCGTTTTCGTAGCGATCACTTAAAAATTAGGGATTGACGGTGAAAACGGGCTTTTATTCTTGCTAGAAAATTTATTCATCAAAAGATTCAAATAGGACCATTTTAATAAACCGTTATTACTCCAACATTAGCTCTGTAAAACAAATTACATTTAAAAAGGCCCTTCTCAGGGCCTAAATATCACGTACGGTCAACAAAAAAATAGATTTGTACGGTCAACATCCAGCTTATTGATTTTTGATTCCGATACTTGAGCACGGACGCCTATTGACAGAGACGTCATTTTAAATTTATTTTTAAACATTTCTTGAATATTTGAACGGGTATCTGGCATTTTAAAGTGCATTTTAACGAGTAAAGGTATAAAGAAAGACATAAGAGTTCAAATTCCCTCTTCTCTGGTGGTGGTCATAATAAATGATCATGATCGTCACTTACCATCAGGTGAGATACAGGCCAAGAGCTTCCTCGTTGAGGATAAAAAAAAAAAAAAAAAAAAAAAAAAAATTAAAATAAAAGTGATTTACAAGGAACAATGTTTTTATATTAAAACTAGCGGCCGCCCGCGACTTCGTACGCATGGATCCCGTTTTACCCTCTTAGGGGTGGAGTTTCGTAAAATCCTTTCTTAGCGCATGTCTACGTCATAACATCTACCTGCATGCCAAATTTCAGCCCGATCCGTTCAGTGGTTTGGGCTGTGCGTTGATAGATCACTATGTCAGTCAGTCAGTCAGTCAGTCACCTTTGAGTTATATCTATTTAGATTGGTTTTGGTTATAAAAAAAAACTATTTACGTTCCCCTTCAAAAATTAAAAAAATAATCTTTTTCTTCGCGGAATCCGCCCTATTTTAACTACTGCACTAAATACTTTAATAGTTTACAATCCAAAACTAATAAATTCAGTACTAGCGTCCCCCTAAACAAATTATCAAATTAGCCATCGCGCCTAAACGAGCCTACTCCCTCGCAAAATTACTTTAACCAATATTTTCCATGCTATTTAAGCCAATTACGGCGCATAAACAAACTACATACAAAAAGACCTGCGAGTTGTCAAAGTGACAGCGCGCCAAACGTTGACAGATGCGCTCGAGCCATTTTATCGCGTTGTGCAAACACGACCAAATGTTGGATAGGGGATAATTGATAATTATAATTTTTTGGGGTCCTCGGTCGAATTGGCGTTGAGGAATCGGAGATTAGTCATTTGTAAATGAGATTAAAATACTTCCTATAGTTAGTTTAACACAACAGTTACAAAAGTAATGTAAGGTTAGCTATTTTGTAAAAAAATAAAAGTAAGTGTGGTTGGATCTTTGCTACCTTTATACAACCACTGAACTGATTTATTAATATGAAACTTGATATAATGCTTAGAGATAGTTTGAGACCCACGGGAAATATAGAATGGTATTTATCTCGGTTTTTCAAATACAAAGATAAGTAAGTATTCTTTCTACGACAAATTGAAATTCACCTAAGGCTCGATTATTTAAAATTAACGAAACTTACTTTTATTTTATACCTATTCGAGAATAACAAAAAATATTGTTGTCGGAGAGAAAAGGCTCACCCTTGACCAACTGTGTAGGCTCACAGATAGCGGCGCGCTTTGTGCAATAAATACCGGCGATTTCATTTCCCTAATTAATATTGATTAATACCGAATGGACGGGACGATTAGAACCGCGATTCGGTTTGCGGGTGTAATTACGTTTGGCTAATTAATATTGGTCATTCACTTTTGGCGATCTAGCGTATTTATGTTATAAAATAGGTATATTTTCATTGTTTTTTTTTTTTCAATTGGTAACTTTTTAAAAAGAACTAGCTCTACATAATTAATTAGATTCTGAAACACTTTTAGCGTTGAATAGGATTATGATTTCTTTCAAACGCTGAATTTGTATTAGTCTAAAAAGAAATATTTCTGTAGATAAAGTTTAATTTATTTTTCAAGTTATCACATGCTGAAATGTTATTAAAGACTTTAAATATTCGAGTATAGTGATTCTGATGTGTACTAGGTACTTTTTCCTTACTACGAACTTTAATCTAAACTATTCATTATTATAACATGGAAAGCTCTTAAATGTTCTGTCCCCGATATTATAGTTGGAGATGAGATCGATTTTAAAATCAATTTGTCTAACAATTAAGATAATAAATTCCAATGTTGACCGTCTTTGTTGACCACTGTCGATCGCCAGTGGTGCCAACTGTTTGTTAATTATAAGAGCGCTTTCACATTAGGGCGTTAGTAGCGCGACTGCAGCGCGGCAGCGGCGTTTTTATAATGTGAAGGCATACATCCGCTGTCACATAGTATAAATCGCCTAAATGTGAAAGCGCTCTTGAAACGATAGCCCTTATTTAATGCCACCTCTTTGCACCCATATTGACCAATTCCTCTCTTCCCCAGGAGCCCCGCACGCGCTCCTCGGCAAGACGCGGCGCCCGCGCACTGCGTTCACGTCGCAACAGCTGCTGGAGCTGGAGAAGCAGTTCAGGATGAACAAGTACCTGTCGAGGCCGAAGAGGTTCGAAGTGGCTACCAGCTTGATGCTCACTGAGACTCAGGTAAGATTGTGTTAATTTATCATCCACATTTCAGCTACAAGATGTCCACTTAAGTAGTTATTACTTCGATAGTGAGTGTAGTGGAAGTTAATAAAATGAAAGAGTGGACTGTATACAATTAGTTGTCTATTCGGTATAAATTAACAATGTTATCGAGACCGTTTTGTGCAAAGTCGTTGAAGAGAGTGCGTCAGGATCGTCTTCTTCGATGTTCGCTCGCGAACCGAACATTGCTCGTTTGTTCGCCGAACGCTCGCCGCTCCCTCCGGTCACGCCGCCCGCGGGCAATGTCCGTGAGTAGACAGTAGTGGACATTGGCCTCAATTTCACCCACTGAAGAACTGCCTTCAAAGATTTCCAGTAGGGTCAGTTATAAGTGGCCTGCATCTAGCACTTTTCTGCAACCTAGTAACGCTGAATTTACAGGTGCGTTGCCCCTATTCCAGAACCTTATAGAACAAGTATCTGTCCCAAACTCACTGAGACGCAGGTGTGTAAGGTTTTACTTAATTCATAAACAACATTTCTGTCATAGGACGTCCACAGCTGTTACTTCGATAGTGAGTGTAGTGGAAGTTATAAATGAAAAGGAGTCGACTGTATGAAAGATTATCGAGACCGTTTAGTGCAAAGTCGTTGAAGAGAGTGCGTTAGGATCGTCTTCTTCGATGTTCGCTCGCGAACCGAACATTGCTCGTTCGTTCGCCGAACGCTCGCCGCTCCCTCCGGTCACGCCGCCCGCGGGCAATGTCCGTGAGAAGACAACAACTGAACATAGACCTTCCTCAAAAAATCATGGTGCTAACACAGTCTCAGACCCTAACTTCGAACTACTATGCTCTTCTGATTAACTTCCTTGCGGGTCCAATGATAGTTTAACATTCCCTCGGGACCAACTTGATCTTCATTGGTTGAGATTTTACTGACGATCAAGCTGTAGATCGAATAATCCCGTAACTCAGACTCTTGGGGTTAGGTTAGGTAGGGTTTTCTTACTCATCATCATCATTTCCATCATATTTCAGTCACACAACGTTCACTGCTGAAAATCTTCCTCAAAGATTTCGAGATGTTTTACGCAACCCCCTAAAAATCAGATTTCATGTAAAGCCAAGCTTCTAACTCTAAGCCTTACTAAACAAACTTTACACCTTAGTCAAATTCTAGTACTTGTAAAGTTCAAAACTTAGCTTTACATTATTCTTATGAATATTATTAAAATATGAACTTTATTTATAGAAATACTAGCTGACCCGGCGAACTTTGTTCCGCCTTAATGGAAATAAATAAGCAGACTTTTTCCTTTTATTTCGAACGGGATAAAAAGTATCCTATGTCCTTCTCCTGGCTCTAAACTACCTCCCTGACAATTTTCAGCTAAATCGGTTCAGCCGTTCTTGATTTATAAGTGGAGTAACTTACACGACTTTCTTTTATATATACAATAGATGTGAGGTTCGAACCCACTTTATGGCTCTTTATCGCATTTTGTGAGCAACAAAACTAGTTAACAACGATTAAGTAAATTACAGATTATTATCGTTAAATAAAATCGTCTAGCTAAACTGAAACCACTTTCAATTACTCCATCGACAAGGGTACGAGAGATTAATATTTAAACCCACAAACACCCCAGGCAATAACCTTTATGGCATACGTTTTGCCACCCCTATAATCTTGTCCCCGCATTTACAATACCAACTTAACTCTACAGTCACAGTGGCGCTAGTATCTACGTGTAGAGTTCTTTTTTCTACGCTAAACTCGTAGTTTACGCTTCTGCCCGCACCTAAGGATACGGTTGTCAGATTTGTAAACGCAAATCCGGTATCTGTCATAGTGACAGGTGTTTCCCGCCATTTCGCAAATGTCATAAAGAGGTTGTTTTTAGTGTCGTCTCGGGAGGGAACGTGTTTTAGATGTTTTTGTGTTTGAGGAGTACTCAGGGAATTATTTTCCAGTCTTGCGATGTAGAGAATATTTTGTCATCTCTCTTATTAAAAAGTATTGTTGTCAATAATGTTCCTTATCCCATTATTCCCATTGTGGAAAACTAAGGCTTAGTTGCACTACCTAACTTTGACCGTCTTTAATGACGGTGTTTTTTGTAGGGAATTTAACAGATTTTTGACGTTTGCTAAAGTTAAAGTAAGATGGTCAATCCAGCCTAACTCTACTTAATTATTGCAACACTTGATCAATTTATATTTTGTCCACAGGTAAAAATATGGTTCCAAAACCGCAGAATGAAGTGGAAACGCTCAAAAAAGGCTCAGCAAGACTCCAAAAAGGATTCGCACTCCCACAACGAAGAAAAGAGCAAACCAAAAGAACCTCTACCTCCGCCGGAGCCTGAAAAACCTCCGCAGAACATGGCCGCCGATTTGACAGCTGTCAAACCTCCCGCCATGTTGGACAGGGAAAGAATCATCGCGTTGGAGCGAGAGAGGGCAATGGCGGCAGCTAATTTTAATTCTAATTTGGAAAACAACAGGCGAGGGATGGTTGTGATGAGCCAAGATGGCGGACGGCCCGGCATGGACATGTTTAGGCCGTACGTGGTATGAAAGTAAAGGTTTTATTAGATTGTAATTTATTTTTGTTGTTGTAAATATTATACGATGGTATACCTACCTCGGGTTACACCATCCTTACTTTAACCATAACAAACGTCAAATAAAACACCGGTTAAAGTCATAGTACGGTTGAAGTTAAGGTGGTGCAACGCAGTGTTCGCTGGGTTAATGTGAGAAAATATTTATTTCTAAATTAAATAATACCGAAATCAATCCGGTTCTTGGTAAAAGATGAAGCCCGTATTCACAAATGATGCCTGCTTATGTGATGCAAGAAATCGAGCTCTGTGATTGGTTCATGTGTCACCCTGTGCGTCCACGTGCACTGTGAGACCTCATAGTACCTAATGTTTTTGAATACGGGCGTCAGTTTCTTTCTTCAGTGTTTTTAGCGAATTGTGACTTTTATTTTTCTATTTATTAACTTAATATCGTGCATTTATTAATTGCTTAATTATTGTAAATATGTAATTATTTTCCCCATTATTAATAAATTAAATCGTGCGGTGTCCAAAATTTCATGTTTATTAAAGACATTTTTTAATAAAATTAGTTCGTAATTTTATTTAAATGAATGAAGAACTGAAATAGGCCAAATAATTTATTAACAATATAGACTATAGTATTAAGTATTTACTTGTGTAAATAACTTTTAGACAACTCACAAAGAGGGTTTAATTCATTATTTTGCAAATTTGTGTCCAGGATTAAGTTATTCCAAAGATCAAACTTAATAAAAGCATCATTGACTGAATAAGTAGAGTGAGTGATAGTAAAACTTAAATTATTTTAGAATAACTAATATTATTTAAGCAAACATCTTACAATCAGTATTATTTTGTAGCATAGTTTGTAAATGGTGTTCTGTGAAAGTTTTTTTTAATAATATCTTCGTTAGTATTTTATAAATGTCTGTAAATATACGCACTATATTTAATTTAAATAATTATTGAAAGGGCAGGGGCGTAACTTTGGTATGCTGTGTCTATGTCATATATTTTAAAGGTACTTTAGAAGATTTCCTCGGTAGTCAAAATTACAGGCAGACAGCAAAGGAACAGAGCAAAACTCAGAAAAAATACTGTTGTACTCACAGTAAAGCTATATTTATAAAAAAACATTTATGTCAAAAAGTAATTTTAATAGGCCGCGAAAATAATGCAATATCTTTTTTTATGTAAGTCTAATTTTATTTTATTTTACTAATCAGAAAAACATGTACAATTTATTTATAATTCACTGTGAAATATGCTTTTTAGAATAAAGCAATTAACATTAATCATAAATTAAATAAATCTTAAATATTATTTATAGTATTTATGTAAAAAAAACTACGCTAAATTAGTCGTAAGAACAAATGTATACTATTCTAATTATAACATAGTATAATTAATATTCATAAGATGTAAATGGCGATCTCTTAAGTAATGTGTTTAATTATGTAAAGATTTACAAAATATAGTCATTATGTTAAAAGAATATCTTTCATTTTGTTTTCCCACTAAATATTCCCGGATCAAAAGCCCAACTTCTAACAACTATAAACTAAATGCCCGATGTCATCATCATCATCAAGTCTTTAGGTATCTTCTGCAGGAGCACGATGCTCTCTTATTTACCAGAGGAAAATGGAGGATTTGTCCTACACTAACCACGCTGGCCAGATGGGTTAAATATATTGGAAAAAACCTTCATTGACACAACAAACACACATAAGTACTAAGTAATTTAAAAATAAGACTAACTAGGCATTAAACATTGAAGTCACCTGTAAATTTTTAATTGACACGAAAACAACTGGTATGAGTTAAGTAATCTTAAACTTGGACTATTTACAATTTCATATGCTTTTAGATGATGGTTACAGAATAAAACTGTTTAAAACAAACTCTGCTGTTCCGAAAGGAGGTGATAATAAAATAACAAAAAATCACTTAGTTTCTTCCTTGTTGCTACCATAATTTAAGTGATTTTTTTGTGACATTTCGACTTTGTTCCCATAAAAAGTTGTTGTATTTAAGTATGAAATCCCCTTTTGGATCCAACAGGAATTTTTGCCTTGTATAACTAGAAACATCAAATAGCCACGCGTCCTATTACTCAGTATCCATTACAGTTTCAGTCAAAAGCTAATATTTCAAAGACCTCGAACGGACCGCTTTGAACTCCGAGCAGTAAATTGAGTGAGGGGGCGGCGATGGTCGGTAACACCCATTTTTGAACGAAACAAGACACTCTTTAGATGGATAAGATCATTAAAATCAGGGATGTTATGGATATCCGTAAAAGTAACCGAAACTTTCGGATATCCGAAATAAAAAAATATCCTTAACCGTAACCGAAACCGGTATAATGTTATTCATATATCCGTAACCGTATCCATAACCGAAACTACATATCCATCCATAACATCCCTAATTAAAACGAAGTAAATTGTACTTACTATTCAAGACACTACAAAAAGGATAAGATCGTAAAAACATCATAGTGTAAATTTAAAAAAATACAAGTAGAAATGAGAATCATCCTGTGGTGCGTTAGACACTTTAGACATGATTAATGAATAAATAGTTGAATTGGGATACTGAAAATAATCATGTTTTCTAATAAGACATCTAAAAAAAATAAGTTCTGGGATCAAAAAAGTTTGCCCACAATCTCATTACATTTTCAGGAATAAACATAGTAACTATTGCGTTTTTTAGCAAAATGTTGACAGAAAATACGTTACATAATCATAATAATTCAATTCATAAAGTATAATTTCGGTGCTTTGATGAATAACTAACTCCAGCTCATCTGTACAATCTACACCGAACAAAAGATATCAATAACAATTCCTAATTATCCTTAATAATACAAATAAATGGCCACCCTACACTACTTCAACTGAACTATAGATTGCGTTGGAAAAACGCGAAGATTCGTATTCTTGACGCGTCGGGAGAGCGAGATGGCAATGTCTTGCATCCTCTTTTAACGACTTGAGCTACTGAAAGAGCCGTATTCTTAATGCGGATGTAGTTTTCAGCCCGATTTTCACCAAGCGGAGAGATGTGTTTGGATCTGGTGGAAACCGGGCCATAGCCTTCGAATTTGCAACTTAATCTGTTCCAGTCGAATTAAATGGCACGTTTTGTGCGAAAATGCAATAAAAAATTTGAATTTGAAAAAAAAAAACCTTTGCATGACAGAAAGGCTGTGTCGGACTGAATATAATGCAAGCTAAGTTCTTGATAAATAGTTATCTATCAACAGTCGATTGATAACCTCTACTTTAGTTAGAGTCTAACTCCAATTAAACATTCATTGTTCGTTATTTTAGTAACGCATTTTTACGTACCTACCTAATTTAAATGATATGAAAATGTCTTGACTACTCAAGCTTGAACTTTAACAGTTACTTAACTCCCCCAGATTCACACTTGAGTATTTCACGGGTCTCAAATAGAGGATCGCGTTATACACCCAGCCCAGAGGGGGTGGGGCCTGATTGATGGGGCTTATCCAAACTACTTACAACAGATGAGTTGCTACCGTATCGAACTCATTGTGCCTGTAATCTATGTAATCGATAGGTATAAGTTTAGGTATTGGATGTATACTGTACAGGTACAGACGACAACATTATAAATATCTATGACTATCATAAAGAATGTAAACCCTTGAAAAGGAGGCTGACAATAGTGACTGAGTTTCTTGCGCTGCTTCTTCTCAGCACTGGCCCAGTTATTGTCCCGAAGCAGTGGTAGGGTTAATACTGGGACGTGTAAAAGTGCTTTTTATAAGCCTATTTGCAAAAATAAATGAGTTTTATGAGTTTTTATCCTTGGACATTTACACTGCGCCTCTAGCAAATTTTGTACTATGGATACCTCCAGACAACGGATAATACACCCTTAAACATACTTAAATACTTTTTAAATTAACCACAATGAAGGTAGTACAATTAAATAGTCGGTCCAATATACCAGACTTTCCCCTATAGGGGAAAGTCCTGAAAATCCTATAGGATTTTCAGGACTTAAAAATGTAAAGGTACGTTTATTGAAAACCAGCGTCGTGGCCTTCCCCACCGTGGGCCACAGCATGTGCTGAGTGGAGTCCCATTGCGATGGGCATCGCTGTTACGACAGGATAGCACTGCTCAGTTCACTTTTTATTTCCTTGTAATATTTATGTGCTATTTCTGTCTTTTTTTTGTATACGTTCTCTGTCATCATGTATAAGTGATGTTCATCGTAATAAATGTTACTTTCTTTCTTTCTTTAATTTTGCCGCGACAGTGGTGGGTTCGAATCTTACCGTTTAACATTAAAAGATTGTAATGGATATGGGGAGGGTACATAGCTCGTAGAGCTGATGGCTACTGGGGCAGAAAAGTTCTCGAGAGGCGACCACGAGCCGGAAGACGTAGTGTGGGCAGACTTCCTACTAGGTGGACCAACGATGTGGTGAAGATCGCGGTAGGTGACTGGATGCGGGCGGCGCAGGAACGGTCTTTGTGGAAAACTTTGGGGGCCTTTGTCCAGCAGTGGACGTCTTTCGGCTGAAACGAACGAAAGAATAAAATGATAAGATCGAGTAATAGTTTAACACAATCAAAATTAGTTTCGGTTTAAAATATTGATTTAGGTGCCCAAAATAATCTTCCAAAATGGCGGCGCCGAAAGCGCGCGAAACGTCACGGTGCCGTTACAAAATCAAATATCAAATATTGATATTCCCCGGCCGATTTTGTATTCTGTTTGAGGTGCGAGATACTATTTGCACTCCAATTCCCTCCGTTACAGTTGTCATTGATTCTGTTAGTCTGGTTACATTTTGTAAACTAGAGACGGCGAAACTGCGTTCCGTTTTACGTTTTTTTTTACATTTTATTTTACCTTATCTGTGTTGGCGATTGTCTATGGTTCATGAAACTATACATTTTCTGAAATTGTATTAGAGAAAATGGCTGGACTCGGATGGCATTGCAATTTTTGGTGTCATAGATCGTGCTGGTTAAATCTTTCTCCATCCTATGGTAACTGAGCTCACAGCCACAGCTCTGCTCTGATACCAGACTTTGTACCGCCATAGGTCGATGAAATGGCATTTTCTAGACTATCAGCTTACCCACCACCTAGAATACAATTATGTACCCTTTTAGGGAATAGTGACATGACTGTCTGCCTTAGAGACCTCAAAGACTGTTAAATAGAGCCGCTTTGTACATTAAATATTTTTTAATAGAACTAAAGTCAAGAACAAAACTTGTGATGTGAACAAACCTATTTTAAAACTTCTTTAGAACAA